GTTTAATTTGCATTTCTTAATGTCAGGTTTACTGCTCTATATTTTTTCTACAAGCTGTTCATTTACATCCTTTGGTCACTTTCATATTGAATGCTGACTGTATTCTGTGCTTCTTGAGTTGAAATAGTTACAAGTAAAGAAAGTCCTTATGCACTATGTGAAAGTTTTTCTTTTTCACTGATTTGTTGGTTAGCTGGATGATGATGATGATGATGATGTTGTTTTGCTGGTTTTTTTGGGAGGGGGGGCTCACCCACTATATAGCCCAGGTTGGCCTCGAACTCAAAATACATCCAAAATACTGGGATCAGAGGCAAGTACCACCACACCCAAAGATATAAAAGTTCTATAATTAAAATCCAACCAAAGGTGAAGACCACAAAATAATGCTACAGTCAGCATTCTTGATCTTTGGAGATCAGACATCTGACTTCATACATACCAAGCATGCACTAACTATTAAGGCACTTTCCCCAGACTTTAAAATCAGACCAAAGATGGAACCCAAGCCCTCATATGTGCTAGCACTGAGCTATTCAGCCAGCCCTAGACTTCTTTTACAGTTTATTTTGTAACAGGATTTAAGTTCCCCAGTTTACTTATAATCCTGAGCCTGAACCTCCACAGTGGTTGTGTCTTTGTTTTGTAAGTCTTAGAAAATATTTCCTTTAGCCAGGGATAATGCCACACACCTCTAATCCCAACACTCAGAAAGTAGAGACAGGAGATCTCTGAGTTTGAGACCAATTTGGTCTACAGAGTGAGTTCCAGGACAGTCAGAGCTACACAGAGAAACCCTGTCTTGAAACATCAAAACAGAAAAAAAAAGGTTTCTTTTATCCTAAAGGCATAGAAAAGTTTGTTCTCATGGTCTCATTTGTTGTTGTTGTTGTTGTGTTTTTTTTGAGACAGGGTTTCTCTGTGTAGCCCTGGCTGTCCTGGAACTCACTCTGTAGACCAGGCTGGCCTCGAATTAAAAAATCCGCTTGCATCTGCCTCCCAAGTGCTGGGATTAAAGGCGTGTGCCACAACTGCCTGGCTCATGGTCTCATTTTTAACCCTTTGGTTCTTCCAGCCACTTAAAATGTGATACTAGGAATAGAACAGCAGATTCTTTCTGTAATCCTATCTCAGTAAATTAGGCAATTTCTCTTACTTTATCTTCCTTTCTTTAAAGTCATATATTCTTCTCAAAGTAATCCAACAGAATTATTTTTATTAAAACAAATGAATAAAAGTACAACAAAGGGAAGGGGGAGGCAGGCAATGCAGGCCAGCATAGAACTGCATACACATCCAAACCACCCCAACTGACCATTAACACTATGGAGGGCAGGGGTGGTGTGGGAGACCCTTACCTCTAAAATAAGTTTATAAAAATAAGTTTATAAACAAAGATTATTTAAACATCTCACTAGGCGTATGTTCAAAGTAAAAGGCAGACATAAAAAAGCCACTAAGAAAATAAGACACTTTAAAAATAAACTATATTGAATTTAATTTTACTACAATAGAAAAAATAACAATCATAAGGTTAAACTAAAAAGGATTTGGCAAGATTTTTATCTGTTACCAACTATAAATAAATAAATACGACAAAAAAACCTGGACAGATGCCTTAAACTGCAAAAATTTAGAGAAAACATACACGTTCTTGCAGAAACTAATCAATGTCAAATACTTTCTGTAAAAACAAACATTAAGTAAAAGAGGCAAGACCAGGTTGTATGACATTTTTGTCAGAAAAAAAAGACTGCCTACCCAGGATTTAGTGTATAAGTGCAGTAAGTCAAGTCTTGTATAAAGCAAAATAACCTTATGATTTCCAGGTTATCATTCAATTTGTAGTTAAACAGAAGTGTCTTTTTGCATTTGTTTGAATTTGGGTCAGTGTGCTCCAAAGTCTTCTCAGCCTCAAACATGACTGAAAAGAGATCAAGTTAATGATCACCTAGCCAAGTGTCCCATCTAAACACAGCAAGAAATGACTGGATAATAAGAGAATATATGTCTTCTACTGAGATACTCTCAAAACAATCCACATCCAAACATCTCCAAACATTTCACAGTGCTCATAATGGACTATCAGTAAGTCTTAAACTATGTACATTTTCAGACTAACATCTGTCAAGATATTTGCTACAGACATAGTAGTTCCTAACATCTGACTTCACAAGTTTGGCATATACATTTTCCCCATTAAAAAAATAATCTAGAAGTCATGGAGGTATTCCAATGCTTCTCTTAAAGGGTCCATCCATGAATGAGTATGAATTTCGAACATTACTTGAGCATTTGCTCAAGGGGACAACCATGTGATCCTATTCTTTCTCACACATTTTCCAACTAATCATATCTAACATTTTTTTTCATTTAAATCTTCTCACTCTTCATTCATTTGAGCCTTCAGCATGTCTCAACAGTAAAGAAAGAAATGGCAAAAAAAAAAAAAAAACCTAGGGTTGTACAGCATTTTGGTATCAGTATTTCACTTATTTATAAAAATAGAAATGTTTCTAAAATCCTTTCCCCTCCACGCTGGTGATCAAACCTAAGAGGCCTCATGCATGCCAGGCAAGTACTAAGCTATAGTTTCTACTTTCCCTCATAATATTGATGAGACTCAATACATTTATACTGGTTAGTCTTACTTCACACACAAACTGGAGTTATCTGAAAGGAGAGAAACTCAATTAAGAAAAAGATCCAGTTGTAGAGCATTTTCTTAATTAGTGATTGATGGGGGAAGGCCCAGCCCATTGTGGGTGGTGCCACCCCTGAGCTAGTTGTCCTGGGTTCTGTAAGAAAGCAGGCTGAGCAAGTCAATGAGAAGCAAGCCAGTGAGCAGCATCCCTCCATGCCTCTCCCTCCAGGTTCCTGCCCTGCTTGAGTTCCTTTCCTGATTTCCTTTGGTGATAAACAACAATATGGAACTGTAAGCCAAATAAACCCTTTCCTTCCCAACTTGGTTTTTGTTTATGGTGTTTCATCATAGCAATAACCCTAACAAAGACAACATTGTTGTCCTTTCTTTACAGAAATCTATATGGAGATACTTCTACATCACCAAAAGTTCATTTTTTTAAACTTAATGGTTGTACTATAGCAGACATTTTAAAGTAATCTATAAAAGGAAGGGCTGGTGAGATGGCTTTGTGATTAAGAGTGCTTGTTGTTCTCATAGAGGACTGCAGTTCAGTTCCCAGAACCAACATGGCGGCTCATAACTATCCATAACTCCAGTTCCAAACTGTTCTGACCTCCTCAGGCAACAGGCATGTATGTGATACACACAATGACTTATACGCAAACAACAGAAAAAAATAGTACGTAAACATGAAAGTCAACTCTTCAACCCTGACACTTTAAAAACAAAAACACAAGCCTTTTAATCTAGGACTAAGGTAATGAACAGGGAAACTGTAACTGGGGGTTGGAGAATTGGCTTAATAGTTAGGAGCATTTACTGCTCTTGCAAAGGGTTCAATTCCCAGTACTCACATGGTGACGTACTGCTATCTGTATATCCAGCCCAGGGAACTGTATGCTCTCATGTGACCAGCTCGGACACCAGGCATGTATGTGGCTCACATACATATATAAAGGCAAAATGCTCATACATAAAAATAATTAATCTAGAAAGCCATAACTGTCTAGATTTATCATGAAAGAATAATTTATATAAGAGAGAAGCATATGCCTCACATTCTGGAGGCCAGGAGCCTAGAGTCTAGACATGTGCTCTGGTAAGGGGCATCCTGCTTCACTCTCAGAGGCAGAGGGCAGACCTAAACTTTGGCATAAAGCTTCTTTTATAAGGATCACTTGTGACAAGCAAGCCCTCACGGCCTCCCCACTTCCTGGGTAAGGATTGAATCCAGAGCCTTGGGCATGCCAGGCAACTTATTTTGGAAGCAACAAATTTATCTGAACCACAGTAGTAACTATAGACATTTTAAACTGCATCTGAAATAGACCACAGGAAGAACTCTCATTATAGCAAACAATGTATCAACTAAAGAAGAAGATGATAAAAGAAATTATTCAAGAAAAAAGTAATTTTTAAAAAGATTAAAAAAAAAGAATACATACATAGAGCAATGTGTAAGATTCTATAGGGTTACAGAGAGAACTATAAATTCAATGTTAAAAAGTTTGATATTCAAAGATAGACTTGTGAAAACTAGCTAGCCTTAAGCTGGGTCAGTCATTTTCTTTTAGATTTCTTTTTTTTCCCCAGCTTTAAACTGTAGGAGAGGGATTATATGTGTTCAATCATACCACTCTAAAATGCTAGTTATGCAACAACATATTAAATAAAAGAGACAGTAAAAACTTGGACTCTTTATTCCCAGTGTGCTACACAGCTGCCCCCCTAACTTATTACTCATCAAACAGAAGCTGATTCCATTTTCTAGGCACAGTCTAGTACTAACCAGAGGGACTAGAATTAAATTTAAAGACAGCCACTTTTAAATGACTAATGCTTCTCAGGCAGAATCCTCATTACAGCATGCTGCAACCGCATCCAACTCTACTAGCAACAATACAACACAGCCAAAAAGAACATTACCAGTTACAAGACAGCTATTACAACTCAAACAAGTTAGCAGTTTACAGAAAAATGTCAAGGCCAATGCTGACTGGAAGGACTGCTAGTCTTCAGTGAGTTTTAATGCAACCCTTCAAGCCAATCAACAGAGAACTCTTAACATAAGTAAAGGCTCAGAGCCACAATTACATTCTTTCGTTAGGCAAGAACATCAAGCAAAATCATCTTTCAAACTACAATGACCATATTAATAATTATATAAATGGAGCTCCTAAAACAAGTATTTCAAGACCTCAAACAAGTTAAAAACTAAGACAGAATAATCAAGACTCTAGACTTTTAAAGAATATTTTAATTCTATTCTCTATCTCATTATTATTTCCAAAAATACCCATCTTAAAAAGGTAACTGATCACTGAAAAATGACTTTATGAAAACTTTCTCTTACCTCTACTGGAGGGCTAAGGCTGCTGGGCAGGGTTTCTGAAGTCACAGCAGTGCTTGGAAGGCTGGCAATCTCCCAAGTATTCATAGGCTGAACTGGTTCACACTGCTTTGAATGATCCACACATTTTGGATTATCAAGTAAGGTCACTTCATAAAATTCTTGAATATCTAGAGATGAAGAAAAAGAAAATTTCAAAAGCATTTATATCTACTAAACTATACCATGTTAAAACAGCATAATTCAAGGCCATATTTGACTACTAGAAAAACAAGTCCAATTCTACCATATTCTTCATTTTCCCCTCAAGATAGGGTTTCTCTGTGTAACAGTCCTGGCTGCCCTGGAACACTTTGCATACAAAGCTGGTTTCAAAGTCACAGAGATCAGCCTGCCTATGCCTCTCAAGTGCTGGGATCAAAGGCCTGTGCCACCAACTAAAGCTCAACCACACATACTTTTAACAGGTTATTTCCTCATTTCACTATGCCATAACTGCATCAAAACCTACTAGAGTCTTAGAAATTTTATACTTCAAACATTAGCATTTTTTGAAAGATGGCTCAGTTAAGAGTGCCCAGTGTTCCTACAAAGGACCTTGGTTGGGTCCCAGCACCCATGCAAGGGAGGACACTATTGCCTGAAACTCCAGCTCCAGGGATCCAATGCCCTCTTGTGGTCTCTGAAGGCACCTCCACATAACCCTACACACAATACACATTCATGTAAACATTTCAAATAAATCTGCACCATGGATGGAGGAGGGGCTCATAAGCCCACCTTAGCTGAGAAGCTACAGCCAGTTCACAAATGGTGGAAGAGAGAGTGGCACTTTTCTTTGAGGGTATTATAGCAACTAGTAGGTTACACATGTTCCCTCCAAGAGACGGCCCATACACATAAGGGTAGCCCTAATTAGACGCAGTAGGTCATTTAAAAACTGTATCAGAAATGGAGGTGGAAAGTAGATATGGGAGAAGAGACTAGGGAAATCAAATGAGAAATTATAGGGCAAATAAGATCAAAATACATTGTAAACATACATATGTAAACATTTCAAACAAATATTTTTTTAAAAATGCTATGTTAAATCCTCTTATCAATTAACTACAAAAAAAAATTACTAACCCTCTGATAATTTGTCTTACTGTGAATTGTGCAAGAACTGAGCACAATAGAGTGCCTAGCACACTAGCATATAATATACTCTTAATAAACAGTAGTTAACATCATTATTATAAATTGTTCAGATGAATCATTACTATGATTTTACATCTTTATAATCACTATTCAGATAGGGAGTGTAAATCCTCATATGGTTTTAACTGTCTCTCTAACTAAAGTGAAACACATTTTTCAAACCAAAGAACTAGGACATTTCCAACTCTGTAGTCTGCAAATCTAAGAGGAAGTGAGAAACAATCATTTAAAGGTATGCAAAAAGTATGAAAGAAACCAAACCTTTATTCAGAATAGCACAGCATAATCTAAAAGATAAAATTACTTTGCTCCCAATTGGAGTTACATGAACTTATTGCGTTAATAATATTAGCAGTGGCTATTCATACAGCTCAGTAATGCTGAGCGACATTTACCTAATGTTTAGATTTCACACTGTGAGTTCTCTAGTCACGTACTGGTATAATTTTGAAATCTTTAGAGAGAGGGAACTGTTTAACAGCCAATATGGGCATTATTCTGAATAAATCACAAATAACTATAAATAATATTTAGAGTAACTTTTATTTCTTGTTTCTTAATATTTTTAAAGTATCATTATGCTCTTTAAAAACATATTTCAGGACTTCCGGTCTGGGCCCGAGCATAGAGCAGGTCACAGGCGGCAGTTCTGTACCCAACCCCAGAAAACCAAGAGAAAGAGGGACTCCCAGGAGCTTTAACTCAGGCAGCATCTCAGGTAAAAATGGATCACCCGTGATGTCTGCTGTTAGAAGTTCTAATCCAGATGCTGGCCTCTGAACTTATACTACTCACACCTTTGAAGGATCACTGACAAGAACATCAAACAGCTAGAGATCGACATCACTAATCTAAAGAAATCCCTCGTTTCACTGTCTGAAGAGACCTCCTAAAATCTCAAAGATCCTTATTGGACTTGATTTACTCTATTACAATAGAAAAGGCTGTATACAGCTCTTGACTGTGTACAACCCTTAAAGAAGAAGGTTGCCTTTACATAGACAAGACAAGGAGGGTTAAAGAGAGCAAGAAATAGGTCAGTGAAGGTCCTAAGAAAAATCAGAGAGAGAAAGAGACGGAAGAATGCTGGTACAAGAATTGGTTTTCAGCCTCTCCAAGGTTGCCAACCCTATTTCCTCCCATCTTGGGACCATTATTTGGGTTCTTTTTGCTTATTTCTGCTGGTCCCTGGGCCTCAAATAGGCTGACTAACTCTGTGAAACAACAGATAAATAATTTGGTAGCAAAACTTATTCAGATACATTATCATAGGTTAGCTACGGAGGACCATGAGACTGAAGATGAGGTTGTTACTTTATACAGGGTGTTTCCAAAACCCATCTCCACCCAACCTAAAAGAGGGGACTTCTACCCCTAGACCAAGCAGAGAGGGGCCACCCAGAACCCCCTCTGACAGGCAATCTGAATTCTTGCTTAGGCTGCGAGGCTAAGCACTGCAAGGGAATATAAATAAAAGATAAAAATATCTCTCTGGGTTCCCTGAGGGACAAGCCTGACTGCATAGGGGTTGATGTCAAAAGTATCCCCTCTCCAGGAAAAAGACATCAGGACGGGTATGGCCCTCATGCCTCACTGGACAACAACAGAAGGACTGAAGTCATTATAAGGTCCCCTTCAATTACTGGAGGTCAGGCTTCTATCTCCGCCTTCGCAAGATTAGAATCACCACAGCCCTTCTATACTTAGAGAAGGGAGGAGATGTCAGGGGCAGCCCTGCTTACACACTGAAGGCCTAAAATCAGCCATAGGCCTAAAATCAGCAATAGGCCTGTCATACATGTATACTAACACCAAGTCTTGGGTCTCAGTGGAAAAACATTGAAACAGATGGCTATAAGCTAATGTAAACAGGCAGCTTTCGTGGAAATTTACAAGCCTGAGTAGTCATAGACCTTGTAAATAGGTAGCCTGGGCAGACAATACCAACTTAGATAAGGACAAGTGAGTCATAGGCACTTAGATAGGCAGAGTCATAGTGACTTGTCCCCTGAACCTTCACCTAGCCAATACCCGGTTCTGAAGATATCTGTATTCCCCCTGAACACCCACACTCCAGTGTCATTCCCTTCCCCACATCCTGCCTTTCTGTATTTACAACCCCTGTGTGAATGAATTACGATTTGAGAAAAAATAAATTAAAAAAAAAGAAAAAAAAAGAAAAAAAAACATATTTCAGCCGGGCAGTGGTGGTACACATCTTTAATCCCAGCACTTAGGAGGCAGAGGCAGGCGGATTTCTGAGTTCGAGGCCGGCCTGGTGACACTACAGAGTGAGTTCCAGGACAGCCAGGGCTAAACAGAGAAACGCTGTCTCAAAAAAAAACAAAAACAAAAAACAAAAAATAAAAACAACAACAACAAAAAAAACATATTTCATTGGGCCAATGAGATAGCTCAGCAGGTAAAGGTACTTGTCACCAAACCTGATAAACTGAGGTCAATCTCCAGGGCCCACACAGTGGAAGGAACGAACTGATTCCCACACGCTGTCCTCAAGTGTCCGCATTCAAACTGTGGCACTTGCATACCCATACACAATTATAATAAATGAAATGTAATAATTTTTTTAAACCCCACAATTCACAAGACAGTAGGGTCAAAGTAGTTCTGTTTGCAGTTTTAACAACCAACAGAACTAAAAATAAATGCACAACCCAAGTACTAATTTAAAACAAATACTTGTACATTGAAGATGCAATCAACCCATCTCACTGTGATCTGTTAAAATGATGACTGGGCTGGAGAGATGGCTCAATGGCTGAGATGGCTCTGGCAGAGGACCAGGCCTTTGTTCCCAGTACCCATTTGGTGCCCTGTAACAGCCCTTAGCCTCAGTTGCAGAGGGTCCAGCATCCACTGCCCTCTTCTGGCCTCCTCAGACCCCAGACAAATAGATAGATGTTGATAAAAAAAAAATTCTTACACATAAGATGAAAACAGTAAGTATTTTTTTAAAGAATATTACCAAAGAAAATTGGTTGGGAAAATATTTATGGGCCAGAAATCACTGCATAAAACTGACACACAGACATCATAAAGCCAAAAATTCAAAAATCACTGTATCTCCTATAAGACTAAAATTATTTAACTTTAACCTCCATCGAGTCTTCAGAACTAATTTCTAGTTCACAGGAAATACAGCAAACAGAAGTCAAAAAACACCTTAAAGCGAATCATTAAACAAGATCCCAAACTAGACACCTATCTCTTCAGCAAGCCAAACCACAAATAGGAGAAGAAATTACTTACAGACTATTCTGCATTTTATACAAAAGAACTAAAGATAACACCAACTGCAGAGTCTGAGTCTGAATTTCCAATGAATTACCAGTGATATAGGGTGGGGTAGGCAGCTATAAGAAGCAATGGGAGAAGTTAGGGAAATATGAACTGCCTCCCAGAACACACTAGGGAAAATCTGTAATAGAAGTAACATGTGAGCTGGACAGTGGTGGAGCATGCCTTTAATCTCAGCACTTGGGAGGCAAAGGCTGGCGGATTTCTGAGTTCGAGGCCAGCCTGGTCTACAGAGTGAGTTCCAGGACAGCCAGGGCTACACAGAGAAACCCTGTCTCAAAAAACCAAAAAAAAAAAAAAAAAAAAAGTAACATGTGGAGGTGGTTTATGAAGAATATATATTTTATACAGGTAGCATGTATATGTACATATATGCTCATACATAGCATATATATAGCATATATGAGTCTTATCCATATTCTTAACTACCTACACAGTAGGTAGCACCTACACAGTATATAAGTAATATACAAGAGAGCCTCCAAGAACACTGAATGGTTATTGAATAGTTGCCAGTATCTAATTAAATTATACTATGGTAAAGCAAGCTTCAAATTTTAAAGTCCTATGTGACACTTTACCTTTTAATTAATAGAACATTGCTTTAATATCAATGCAATAAAGGCCTACACTAGTAACAACCTAAAAAACA